AGGTAGACGTAATAATGTCATGGTATAGCAAGGCATAAAAACGTCAAAAAACGTCATAGGATAGCAAGGCATAAAAACACCAAAAAACGTCATAGTATACTATGGCATAAAATGTCAAAAAATGTCATATTACAATGAAGCATAAAAACATAAAAAAACATCATAATATAGGTAGACGTAATAATGTCATGGTATAGCAAGGCATAAAAACATCAAAGAACGTCATAGTATAGTAAGGCATAAAAACACCAAAAAACGTCATAATATAGGTAGACATAAGAATATCATGGTATAATGAGGCATAAAAACATCAAAAACGTCATAGTATAGTAAGGCATAAAAACACCAAAAAACGTCATAGTATAGTATGGCATAAAATGTCAAAAAATGTCATGTTACAATGAGGCATAAAAACATCAAAAAACGTCATAATATAGGTAGACATAAGAAGGACGTGGTATAATGAGGCATAAAAACATCAACGAACGTCATAGTATAGTAAGGCATAAAAAGTCATGAAAAAGTCATAGTATAGTAAGGCATAAAAAGTCATGAAAAAGTCATAGTATAGTAAGGCATAAAAAGTCATGAAAAAGTCATAGTATAGTAAGGCATAAAAAGTCATGAAAAAGTCATAGTATAGTAAGGCATAAAAAGTCATGAAAAAGTCATAGTATAGTAAGGCATAAAAAGTCATGAAAAAGTCATAGTATAGTAAGGCATAAAAAGTCATGAAAAAGTCATAGTATAGTAAGGCATAAAAAGTCATGAAAAAGTCATAGTATAGTAAGGCATAAAAAGTCATGAAAAAGTCATAGTATAGTAAGGCATAAAAACATCAAAAAACGTCATAATATAGGTAGACATAATAATGTCATGCTATAATGAGGCATAAAAACATCAAAAAATGTCAAAGTATAGTAAGGCATAAAAACACCAAAAAACGTCATAGTATACTAAGGCATAAAATGTCAAAAAATGTCATATTAAAATGAGGCCTGAAAACATCAAAAAACGTCATAATATAGGTAGACATAATAATGTCATGGTATAGCAAGGCATAAAAACGTCAAAAAACGTTATGGAATAAAAAGTCATAAAAACACCAAAAAACGTCATAGTATACTATGGCATAAAATGTCAAAAAATTTCATATTACAATGTGGCATAAAAACATAAAAAAAACGTCATAATATAGGTAAACATAATAATGTCATAGTATATCAAGGCCTAAAAACGTCAAAAAACGTCATAGGATAGCAAGGCATAAAAACACCAAAAAACGTCATAGTATAGTATGGCATAAAATGTAAAAAAATGTCATATTACAATGAGGCATAAAATCATCAAAAAACGTCATAGTATGGGTAGACATAATAATGTCATGGTATAGTGAGGCATAAAAACATCAAAAAAAGTCATAGTATGCGTAGACATAATAATGTCATGGTATAGTGAGGCATAAAAACATCAAAAAATGTCATAGTATAGTATGGCATAAAATGTCAAAGTATAGTTAGGCACAAAAACGTCATTGTATAATAAGGCATAAAACGTCATAAAAACGTCATAGTATATTAAGGCATGAAAATGTCAAAAAAACATCACAGTATAGTAAGGCGTAAAACATCATAGTGTAGTAAGTGTCAGGGACCAAGCCGTGAGGCAATGAGGAGAACAGGAATTTAGATGGAAGAAATAGGGGTTTTATTTACACAAAAAACACAATACAACATAAACCAAGAACTTGATTTTCTTGGCCTATAAAAGAGGTTAGCGAAAGAGAATTATACTCAAAATAACAGCAACAAAACAAGATGTTAACTGAACAAACTGACCTAACATAGTGTGACATGAGGGCACATATAAAGTGGCTTGGCCAAACCAAATAACACACAAGGGGAAAACAAAATGGACATCAACTACAACTAATTCAAAGGAAAAGCTATCTAAACCCAAACCCCCCTCATGGTTTGGCCTGATGGGCAGGCCACAGGATTTAACAGTCCTTTGCCCTCGGACACGCCTTTTGCTTCAACAGGAAGGGACCTCCCCACTAGCATGGTAACGTTTATTACTGTTATTCTGTGTGGCTGTGGCCATCACAGTAAGGCATAAAAACGTCAAAAAAAATCATTTTATATTAAGGCATATAAATGTCAAAAAACGTGATTGTATAGTAAGGCATAAAATGTCATGGTATAGTAAGTCATAAAACATCATAGTACAGTAAGACATAAAAACTTCAAAAACATCATAGTATAATAAGGCATAAAACATCATCATATAATAAGGCATAAAAACTTCATATTATATTAAGGCATATAAATGTCAAAAAACGTGATCGTATAGTAAGGCATAAAATGTCATGGTATAGTAAGTCATAAAACGTCATAGTATAGTAAGCCATAAAAACGTCAAAAACATTATAGTATAATAAGGCATAAAACATCATAATATAATAAGGCATAAAAACTTCATAGTATATCAAGGCATATAAATGTCAAAAACGTGATCGTATAGTAAGGCATAAAATGTCATGGTATAGTAAGTCGTAAAATGTCATAGTATAGTAAGCCATAAAAACGTCAAAAACATCATAGTATAATAAGGCATAAAACATCATAATATAATAAGGCATAAAAACTTCATAGTATATCAAGGCATATAAATGTCAAAAACGTGATCGTATAGTAAGGCATAAAATGTCATGGTATAGTAAGTCGTAAAATGTCATAGTACAGTAAGACATAAAAACGACAAAAAACGTCATAGTATAGTAAGATATGAAAATTTCAAAAATATCATAGTATAATAAGGCATAAAACATCATAGTATAATAAGGCATAAAAATGTCATAGTATATCAAGGCATAAAAATGTCAAAAAACTCCATAGTATAGTAAGGCATAAAAACGTCAAAAAATGTAATCGTATAGCAAGGTATAAAACATAATAAAAACGCCACAGTATAGTAAGGCATAAAAATGTCAAAAACATCATAGTATAAAAATGTCATTGTATAGCAAGGCATAAAAATGTCAAAAAACGTCATAGTATAGTAAGGCATAAAAACATCATAGTATAAAAAGGCATAAAATGTCCCAGTATAGCAAGGCATAGAACGTCATAAAAACATCACAGTATAGTAAGGCACAAAAGCATCAAAAAAACGTCATAGTATAGTAAGGCATAAAAATGTTATAAAAGATCACAGTGTAGAAAGGCATAAAACGTCATAAAAACCTCTTGGCATAGCAAAGCATAAAACGTCAAAAAACGTCATAGTACAGTAAGGCATAAAAACGTCATAATATAAAAAGGCATAAAACGTAATTAAAACATCATAGTATAGTAAGGCATAAAAACGTCAAAAAAATGTCATAGTATAGTAAGGCATAAAAACGTAAAAAAATGTCATAGTATGGTAAAACATACAATGTCATAGGATATTAAGGTATAAAAATGTCAAAAAATGTCATAGAATAGTAAGATAAAAACGTCAAAAAACGTCATAGTATAGTAAGGCATAAAAATGTAAAAAGTTTTATAGTATAGCAAGGCATAAAACATAATAAAAACGTCACAGTATAGTAAGATATAAACATGTCAAAAACATCATAGTATAAAAAGTCATAGTATAGCAAGGCATAAAACGTCATAAAAATATCATTGTATATGATGGCATAAAAATGTCAAAAAACGTAATAGCATAGTAAGGCCTAAAAACATCATAGTATAAAAAGTCATAGTATAGCAAGGCATAAAACGTCATAAAAATATCATTGTATATGATGGCATAAAAATGTCAAAAAACGTAATAGCATAGTAAGGCATAAAAACATCACAGTATAAAAAGGCATAAAACATCCCAGTATAGCAAGGCATAGAATATCATAAAAACATCACACTATAGTAGGGCATAAAAATGTAAAAAAAAAAACGTCATAGTATGGTATGACATACAATGTCATAGGACATTAAGGCCTAAAAACGTCCAAAACGTCATAGTATAGTAAGGCATAAAACTTCATATTATAGTAAGGCATAAAAACGACGCAGTAGGTTGAGCAGGCGCCCCATATGTAGAGGCTACAGTCCTCGCTGCAGTCGGCCCCGGTTTGAATGTTGCATCGGATGGCCCTTTACTGCATGTCATTCCCCCTCTCTCTGCCTCCCCATTTCATGTATTTCTCTACTATACTATCTAATAAAGGCATAAAAAAGCCCTGAAAAAATATACTTAAAAAAAAAAAACGTCATAGTATAATACGGCATAAAATATCATAGTATAGTAAGGCATAAATACATTTTAAAAACATCATGGTTTGGAAAGACATACAATGTCATAGGATACTAAGGCATAAAACGTCATAAAAATATCATTGTATTTGATGGCATAAAAATGTCAAAAAACGTAATAGCATAGTAAGGCATAAAAACATCACAGTATAAAAAGGCATAAAACATCCCAGTATAGCAAGGCATAGAATATCATAAAAACATCACACTATAGTAAGGCATAAAAATGTAAAAAAAAAAATGTCATTGTATGGTAAGACATACAATGTCATAGGATACTGAGGCATAAAAACGTCAAAAACGTCATAGTATAGTAAGGCATAAAAATGTCAAAAAAAACATCATAGTATAGTAAGGCATAAAAACGTCAAAAACGTCATTGTATAGTTAGGCATAAAAACGTCATAGTATAGTAAGGTATAAAACGTTGTAGTATAATAAGGCATAAAAACGTCAAAAACATCATAGTATAGTAAGGCATAAAAATGTCAAAAACGTCATACTATCGTGAGGTATAAAAATGTCATAAAATGTCATAGTATAATAAGGCATAAAAATGCATACTATAGTAAGTCACTGAGATCCACAAATGCTTTTCCGCTTCATAAATAGAAAATTGATTTAAAAATGTCTGTTTGAAAGTTGTAAATGTTAGGAGGATACAAATCTATCGCTATACATTATTTTATATGTTTTCAGATGGCTTCTGCATGGCAAAGTGTCCTGTCTGTGCACCAGAGGATAGTGGCCAATGGAGGTGTGGTGATGATTATTATTTTTTCCTACATATACAATTAATTTTCCTTTTTTGATTGGTTTTCTTTTTTTTTTTTTTTTTGCAAAACAACAGCAGAGAAGAGATTCCCAGTCTTATGCACAAGCCTGTGTGTGTGTGTTCAGTATGTGGGAGTTGGGAGCTGCAGATGTGCTAGTCTTCACAGTGACTGCTTTGTGGCTTGTCCCATGGTTTGCCACCACCACGCCACTTTTTATACTCCATTATCTTGTTACAGTCATTTGTGCAGTCGACGCATGTGAGTGGGAGGAACAGAGACCCAGACTCAGGGAGAGCCCTTTAATTGTCAGGAGAAAATTGTACTTTTCATGTACTCCACTGCATTTTTGCATTTTTTTTCCAGCTTTATAAAATTTAATTGGTTTACAGTTATAAAATTGCACATATAATGGGTCATCTGCTCTGAACTGGAAGAAGACAAACTGTAAATCTTTGTATTTCTTTTGTATGTACCCTGAACTTTATTTATTCATATGTCAATAAAGCCTGAGAGTCCCTGACACAGAGCCCTATTATGTTGCAGACAGGAGGACTGACCCGTGGCTGCTGGTCTACTCCCCCGTCCCCGTGTCACTCATCTTTCTGGTTTACCTCTGTGTGGTCTGGGCCGGCCCTCGGCTGATGAAACACAGGGAACCCGTTGACCTCAAAGTCGTTCTCATTGTTTACAACTTCGCCATGGTCGGCCTGTCTGCCTACATGTTCTATGAGGTGCAGGAGTCCTGCTTTTTGTTGTTGTGTTAACAGGGAAACCAAATCAATCCTGAGCATGAAAATATGACTCAAAAATATTTTCTTATGCTCAACATAAATGGTTATATTATTGGTGTATCATTTCATGAAATTGTTGTTCTAATATTTTTAGTTCTTAGTCACATCATGGCTCTCAAACTACAGCTATCTCTGTCAGCCTGTAGATTACAACACCAGCCCATTGGCAATGAGGGTAAGAATTTTTCTCACACAAGCTTCACTTGGAATTCACAGTAAAATGTGAAAAGCAGGTGGCTGACAGCGCAGTTTGAAAGATAAAACATACAGTTACCTTTATTGGATTATTATTAATGCAATATTGAACTTTCACCTTTCCGGCCTCCAGATGGCCAGAGTTTGCTGGTGGTTTTTCTTCTCCAAGGTCATAGAGCTCTCTGACACGGTAAATATTTGTTGAAACATTTTCAGTATCAGTGAAATTCAGTCAGAGGAGTAAGAATATAGTTATAACTCTGCTCCTCTCTCTCTATGAGCAGCTCTTCTTCATCCTGAGAAAGAAGAACAGTCAACTGACTTTCCTTCATGTCTACCACCATGGCACCATGATCTTCAACTGGTGGGCGGGAGTCAAGTATGTGGCCGGAGGACAGTGTGAGTCAACGATTGTAGTAATTTAATGAAAGCGCTCTAATGATATTTTTTCTTGTTTCCAACAAATCCCACATAAATACCAAAAACCAACAATCAGCTGATTGTTCTTACAAGTATTTTCTGTATAGCCAGAGCAGTAGGTATCTTATTCCTCTGTGCTGTGAAGCTCTGTTGTTGTTCAAAAACTATTTAAAAAAAACAAAAAAACATATAAATGAGCTGCACCATTGCACTTGATCGTAAATACTTGCTGGAGCACCAAATGTGTATTTTTCCACAACTGAAAATAGTCCCCAAAAGATGTACCAATTCCTCCTATTTGAGCAACTTTTGCTACAAACTGTGTTGAGTTTGAATGTTTTACTTTGCCTTAAAAAAAAAATATATATATTTGTGAAGATTTACACCTTCAGCAGGAACATGTGTGTGAGGTTAATTGCTACAGACAGATTAAGAAAGTTGGAAATTATTGAGAAATGAACTAACACATTGTTGGTCTTTATCTTTTCATGGGCTTTGTTGACAACCCCCCTAAAAAAAAAACACTCTAGAATAACACCTCAATTAATGCTGATATGAACTTATCTTTAAACATGACTGTTTTCATGCCAAAGATATCAGGCATTTTTATTTAAGTAAAAAATCTCATTACTTTTTTCCACCACAGAAATTTGAAATACTTTTAATAATTCACACACTATCAATATTAACAAGTATTTTCTCTGTATTTTGATGTATTTAATGACTTCAATTTTGAGTATAATGATTGATTTAACTGATTTAAAAAAACTTTTTCCTTTGCTTTATTCACACCACATCCTGCAGCATTCTTCATCGGCCTGGTCAACACCTTTGTTCACATAGTGATGTACTCTTACTACGGCCTGGCTGCAATTGGCCCTCACATGCAGAAGTACCTGTGGTGGAAACGATACCTAACGTCTCTGCAGCTGGTGAGTGGCTCCTGCTCTGTGTAACTGGAATTGTACATGCAGTATGTTTCGAAAGTAACTCAAAATGCAACTCTAAATTTTGTCTTCGGCTGCCTCTCCAGATGCAGTTTCTGATGTTCCTTGTGCACACGGGCTACAACCTGTTCACAGAGTGTGACTTCCCCGACACCATGAACATGGTGGTGTTTGGTTACTGTGTCACCCTCATCATCCTCTTCAGTAACTTCTATTATCAGAGCTACCTCAGCAAGAAGAAGCAGAAATAAGACGCAGTGGTGAGGCGTTGACACACAATCGAACACACTGAGGCTTTAATGAGAGGCGCTTACGCGATAGTGTGACAAAGTATTTTGCACAGTGAGTCAAGTGTTCTGTGTCTGCAGTCCCCACCAGTGTCCACTAGAGGGCACAACATGTCCACAGTGTGAAGGTTTTTCTAATGGTCCTCATCAACTGTCTGTTCTACACAAACTTGAACATTGAATATTTTACAGACATATACAACTAATGTGAACAAGCTCAGTCCTCTCTGCATTATTTTTAATGTAAAAATGACGAACATGATTGTTGTAAACAAACTGTACATTTTATACATACAATAATAAAGTAGGTTGGTCTCTGCATTATTGCAGAATTTATTAGCCCAAACCCTCCTCAGTAAATAAATCCAAAAGCAAAAAACACAAAATACAGAAATGCAAACATTTTTTTTCCACTGCTAAAACAACACGGCAAAATGATATATTCTTTTCTACACTTCAGTCTAAAGTAGATTGAAACATGTAGATTAGAGAGGAAAAAACATGGGAGGAGGGAAAGGTTTCATTTAAAGTCCATTCAGGGACTTTGTAGTGACTGAAGTTTATGTATTAAAGCTGAAAGAACTGTATGTGTAATCTCAGCCTGATTGTACTGTAAGCGTGCAAGTCTTCGCACCAAGACAAATTCTCTGTACATGATGAGTTCTTGGCCAATAAATGTGATTCTGAATCTAAGAAGGAAAGCTTATGTCTCTTATGGACCTCGATGGGAAGATAGTTTAAAAAGTCCTAATAAGAAAAGGAAACTTCAATGTAATTTCTCCCTTCATGTAAAATGAGTAAAAATCTGACCAAAATGTTTTTTTGTTTTCTTCCTTCTTACATATTTCAAATCTTTCTAACCCAGCGGTTCCCAGCTTGGATGTCTGACCCCTAAGACAAATCTGAAAGGTGTCAGAATAATTAAAGGGGACTTCCAGCAATTTAGCATTGTACTTTCATTATGTTAAGGGACATGCAAGCGACAGATTAAAAACAGAAGGGGCAAAATCGATCCAGTAGAGGTTGAGATATCCTGACTTTTAGTCTCTTGCTCCAAAAAATGATCCTGCTGATCCTACAATTCTCATACTACAACTCGGCAGCGTCTTTGGGAAGACCCCTCCTGCAGGGTAAACACCTACATATCTAAAACTACACATTCCAAGTTTAGAACAGAGGCTTTCTGTTATAAATCTGTATCGAGCCCAATCCCAAATAACCATGATGACATCACCATGGCATCATTGAGGTTATTTTCTCAGAGTTTAGTAAGCTTCCTTCACAGACACAGAAAACATTTTACATGTGTTTTATAGGCTGTTTAGTACTTACTCCTCAGGACAAGTTAACTGATCTTAATGTGTAAAATCAGTGTGTCCCTTTAACAGAATCAGACAATGCATCAATTTTTTGATTTTTCCTCAAATCTTTGCTCATTTACTCATGAATTACTGAATAATTTTACATCTGAAAATGGTTCACATAACACCTGGAAAAATCACTTTTTGTTATACTGGTGACATTTTTGTTTTGAGGGGTCACGATCCATAAAGGTTAGGACTTAAACCAACTCTGCATCTTGACTATTCAGGTAGTGTAAGGTTAGTAGTCTCAACTGACTTCAAAGCTTTTTTTGTCTGTTGGTTTCCAGTAGGTCAGAAGAATCTATAAATCATTTTTGATTCACTGTGTGAGCTATATTTTGCTGTTGGAAAAAAGAAAAAAAAAACGAAACAAGAACTAGAGAAGAAGTGATCCGAGTGTGTAAAGATGCATGTGAAGGGAGTTGTACTGCAAAGTAGTAGAGTGGGTGTGGTGAAGCGTGCCCTGCTCCAGTGTTGCTCTACGTCTCTGTGTAGACGGAGGACATGTGGCTCAGGCTGCGGTCGAAGCTGCCCACCTGGAAGAAAATGCTCTCCTCTGGGCTTGAAGAGAACTGGCACCCTGCGTTTCCTTGCAGCTCCTGGGTCAAGCTGAAGCCTGGAATAGACATGACGTGCACTTTGTTTAATATTTTTGATAAAATCATTCACGTAATCTTTTATGATCTTTTTGATTCCGGCATTTAGGCCCGAAGTAAAATGTCCTCACCTGCAGAGCCAGAGTTGCTAGTCGACATGTGGAAGCCATTGTGCTGATGGGAAGTGTAGGCGTGAGAATCTCCTGGGATGTGGACACCACCGACCGTCTGCTCCATCCTGTAGGAGTCTCCGAAATGGAAGCAGCTCTGAAAGCTGCCTTGGTATTCTAGGAAATGAGGGAGGATGTTGAGGAGTCGGGGGTGAGAGAGAGAGAGAGAGAGAGAGAGAGAGAGAGAGAGAGGGGAGAAAAATAGAAGCCAGACTTGATCAACTGCCACCAACATCTATGGGTGATTGTTTCCAAGGTCAGTAAGCGTCCGCTTCATCCGGCTGAAGCTTAATGTGGATCTCAAAATATGACAACGCTATATTTGTGCTCGTGCTAACTCTGCCAGCCCCTTAGTATGTAACATTTATCCCCATCGTCTCAGTTTGTACTCAGAATCGACCGCAGGAGTCACGATAATGGGAAAGCAGCCTTTCCTGGAGCGTTTTTACGCAACTCCCCGACCACAGCGCGGTTAGAGAGACGTCCATGTGTAGATCTTTACAGGGAAAACAGTGTTTAAGGCATTAGGAAAAAGGCTCTGGAGTGACAGCTGAGCCTGCCAATGTCAGGGCGCTGAGAGACAGCTGAATACATGAGCCAGCATTTTGTTGGCTAATTCAGTGCAGGGAAAAGGCTTCCGGCATGTGGTTTTCCCCACTCTGTTTCTACGACTCTAATCTCTCTCTGTCCTAAAAATGCTCTGACAGAGCCACAGGGCAATATCGCTACTCTACGAGACAACTTCCTCTCGCTGAGGCCTTTTATGTGGGTTTGGTGGTACAGAAAGCGTTTGAAAAAAGGACACAAGGGTGTTCAGATCTGAAGTGTATTCAAGTGTTCTGGCACTGTGAGTTCTCTCATAGGACATTATATAAGAGTATTAGGCGGGCTACATGTTGCTGATTCACCTGTCGCAGGAAAGATTTAGTGACAGTAAATTGAAACGCCAGCGAACATTTTGAAATTCAATCCAAAACAGATTTCCTGAAACAAGTTACATTCAGACAGTATGTGTCTGGGTCAGTCTTACCGTCGTTGGCAGACTGATGATGGTGATAGTGAGAGTAGGGCTTTTGGTGGGAGTGACCATGCTGTTTCTCCAGAGGAGGAGGAGGGGGAGGAGGCGTCCCTGTTGCTTTCATCCCAGGAGACAGGAGGGGACCCGACACCCTGGAGGAGACGCAGAGAGGGGGTGGGTGAGATAAAACATTTAAAGCTCTAAATCTAACATTATTTCTTTCTTGACAGTGTCAACAAGTTGTCATAAAATGCTGTAAAAATGCTTCATACATTGTGACATCCCAATCAAAACCAGAGCTACACGCCGGCCTGCTAAACCACAGCAGGGCAGTTAGTGATCCTAAAAACACAGAAGAAGAAACGGTCCAGGCGTGTGGAAACTTGGGCTCCCCACACGTAATCGTCCTCCTACCACATATTATGATCTTAAGTCAACAAACAGCAGAGTGTGCATTCAAGTGAAACCACCCCCCACCACCCCCCATGCTCAAACACTCAAACACTCACACACACACACACACACACACACACTGCCCACCACTGCAGTAACCCCAGGCTTTGTGGCCTGGAGAGAAGAAAGCACAATCGTGTTTACATTCATGACGTCTGAGAGAAGGAATATTGAGATTACATGTTTGTGACTTTGTGGATTTGAACAGCCTGGAGAACAACTGAGGTTTCCACGTTGGCTTATTTTTGTGCATATTGATAACTTAAATAAAAGTTTGAAAAATGTTATTGGGATACATTTGATATTTGATACAGCAGTGGGCAAATCACATTGCAGGGAAATAATCTTCAACTTGACAACACTGTGCCATCAAAGAGTAATGTTTAAATGAAGCATACTGTCCTTATACGTCTTCAGTCTCAACTTTTAAAGAGTCTCACTGTTTGCTAGGGGAAACCACAGTCTGGAGATCAAAGGCGTCATAGCAAATGGTGAAATATTACGATCACAGCAGCTGATAGTAATTCTGCCACTTAGCGTCATAGTTAAACTTGTTCACCCTCAAAAACCTGCAGAGGGAAATGTACGCTCTACAGCATGCCTCGTTGAGCTTGTGCAGAAGCTTTCAGCAGCATCTCAGTGCAAGTTCTGCATAACATCATATCATCTAACATGAAAAGTATGCTGCTATCATGATGGATGTTACCTATTTTTAATTTTGTCATTGCTGTAAAGTGTGCAGGGATGAAGGGATTTCAACAAATTTGAAGAATTACATCATGCATTTTCAAAATAAACTTTGTAGAAACATTAGCAGAAATGTGGAACCTCTTTCAGATATGCCTTTTGTTATGTGTGTATGCCTCAGGTCTAAATAAGCGCCTGACTCACGTTAATGTAAAAGTCACAACTTCAGTCCTACTGGATCCCACCGAGTAACATTTCCGTCAACACTGATAATGCGGCAAAGGTCTGAATTTAATCACTATAAACAAATAGTCTGACCTTTGCGGAATACTCCTATTCCATTTCGTGCCAAGAGTTGAATGAGAAAATTGATACCACTCACATGTCTGTACAACCAATGTGAGGCTAGCGCCAGGAGACAGTTAGTTTAGTTTAACACACAGGCTGTAAACGGGGGGAAACAGCCTGGCTCTGTCCAAAGGTTAATAAACAGCCAACCAGCAACCGCATTATAGCTCATATATTATGTCAAAAATCAAGAAACCAAAATGTAAAATTGACAGGTTGTATGGAGATACTGTGTATTAATCAGTGATGTTTAGAAATTGTATTGACTTTGGTCAGAGCCAGGCTTGCCGTTTCCCCCAGTTTACATCCTGTGTGCTAAGCTAAGCTTCTCTCTGTAGCTTCATATTTAACTTACAGTTTGGTATCAACCTTCTCATCACACTTTCAGCGAACATATTTACCAAAATGTCAAACAACTCCTTTAACTTAAAGGCCACAGAAGCACAAGTTTAAACAGGCAGAGAGAGATTTTCAATGTGTGTCTTGTTAAGCCTTCATAAGATCATAGTGATAAATTTACCCAGAAGTAAGAACCACGTCTGGTATTTATTCAGACACTTAAATGTTAAATGTGAAATTTAACAAGAAACTCAAAATGACCAACAATTTAACGACTTAATGTTGTACATTTGACATTAACTTAATGAAACAGCAATCTGGTGAAAAATCCAGACTGATAGCCAACAGAGCTGCCTTTAAAAACTGAGCTGGCCAATCACCTCCCCCCCAAATATTCAGCAGCTACTTAGTACCCTCTCATGACTGCATATCAGGAATGCCAACACATAAACTGCTGCTGTGTTACTATGTGGAAGCATATGGTTTGCACTAAGCGCTATATGAATGTGATGACAGAGTGTTGCTGGAGGCGGCCGAGCCCTCAGATGACTGCTCATTGCTGGCCTGGCTGGAGCCTACTATATGACCTACTGCTCCATGCATGAGGTACGTCCCACCCAGCACTCAGTAGCTCGCAGTGGCTTTGTGCATGGCATTTGGCAGAGAGCGGCCGATGAAGGGAGATGGTAAATGCTGCAAAGCTTTCCTGCCAATGCTAAATTTATTTACATTTTACTTAGCTGTAGGACACAGCTTCAGGCTCTTTGTGTTATTGCTTTTATCAACGGAGATCATCATACAATTGTATAAATATATACTCTGGATTTTTATTGCCTCAATAAAGAAAGTCATGTTTTTGCTCCTGTATGTCCTCTTTCTCTGAATCTGATAACATGAAATTATGTGGACAGATATGTCTTGAGCCAATGAACATATGATTATATTTTGGCAGTAATCTGGGATTCCCATCATACTAATAACAAGTGGTGGAAAGTAACTACGTAATTGCACTTACTTTTACTTTACTTGAGTATTTTACTTTCTACCTCCACTCTACTACACCTCAGAGGGAGATACTATACTTGTTACTCCATTACATTAATTATTTGACAATGATAACTGGTTACATTACAGATTTTACATACAAAACAAATGATCAACTGGTAAAATATGGTGCATTTTTATAAAATAAATGACCCCAAAGTATATAAAGTAATTAGAAAAAGTTCCCCCTGGACCAGCTACAATTTAACTAATGCTTACTTTTGATACTCAGCAAATACTTCTGTACTTTCTGTACTAAAATTATGAACACATAACTTTTACTTGTAATGGAGTATTGTTATCATGTGGAATTGCAACTTGCTTGAGTAAAAGATCCGAATGCTTTCTCAACCACTGTTAATAGTTTTGATACAAACTAAAGCAGGGACTTTCCAAATTCTTTCCAAGGTCTGCAGGATTAGCCAATCAAAACAACTTAAAACTGAGGTGATAGCTCCAATGCCTTTGGAAGTAACAGCAAATTGGGGGAAATGTTTGGAGGTTTTCACTCTAAGACCCTTCTTGTCATTTTGAAAATGTTCATGTGGGTATCAGATTTAAGTGCTTAACCGTACATGGACTTCACTTGAACTCCATGTCCGTGTTCCACAAAATTGAGGAAGTTTGTGTGACACCTTGTGTTAGTCTAGCTCTGGAGGAGCTAGCTGTTAGCAAGCGTGGCTAATCCATGGGCTGGCACAGGCCCAGTGCATGGCCATGTGTTCCTGCAGAGAGCAGCATTCCCCCAGGAGCTGCTGTCAGCACAAACTCAGGAAACAGTTATACTGTTCATATTTTTACGAGCTGCCTCTATGTGCAGCTAAAGTGAATCATAAGCTAATCACTGCCAGCTGCCCCCGGCCCTGCTCTCGCTAGTCTCTAGCTTGCTAGCTACTCAAGCTTGAGGTATGATGGGAATCTTTCATATGCTACATTAATCTCCCCTCTGATATTCGTCTTCACTGACCATCCTGCTCTACTCTACTTTTTCCAGACAGCCCACCCACTCCTGGTCTGCTACACTAAGAGTGATTTGACCATTGACCTGTTGATTCCTGAAGGTAGAGTCAGCGGGGATTTTAAAGTGTGGTTATCAGGTTGATGAACTAAATTTTATGAATACAGAGTAGGTCAAGAGGTTAGGGAGAATGGAGAGAGAAATGTAAAATATTCACTAACATTGCAGAATGATGTAACTTTGTTGGCCTATATTGCATTAAGATCATGTGGGAAAGAAATCTTAATGTGAGGTGTTTTTAAAGAGAACAAGGGGCTTAATGGTTTATGAGACCTCACCCTTTGCTTACTCTAGTGGACAATAGCTCAATGACTTCGACTTGAGTGACTCAGTGAATTTTTCTGTGAGCTGAAGTTCTTGGCTAAACTCCAGCCTCACAACAAGAAGATGAAAAGGCCACTCCAACCTGGACTGTCTGATGCTGCTCTGATCCACACAAGTCCAGACAAAATGACTCGTATTCAGGTATGTGGGCATAGACGTCATCACTACTGGAGTGCAACTATGGTCCAGAAACATTACGGCTTAGAAACTGCCTTTGCAGTCTTGGCTGACTGTATAGAGGCATGATGGGATGGAAAGAAACCTGAAGATTCATGAGCAGTCCTGCTCTGCTCCTCGTTCGTCTTCCTTCACCTGCAGCTAACTGTCCCACTAGGGAGCAGGGATCAGACCCTGTCCTGTACAGACCCTACATTCTCCACAAACACCCTCTGCCTGCCCTCTCATCTCCCCCCTCTGCAGCCGACCGTTAAGCCCTGCTGATGGATGACAGGGGCTTCTTTGGCGCAGATCGGTGGGAACACTTCTGGTTCTGGTTAGCAAGCTAAAGCTGTGCTTGAGAGACAGACTACAGCATCCTGGCTAAAGCTAAGCTAAAGCTAAGCCAGCCCCGCAGGCCCCAGTGTGAAGAGCACAGCCAGGGCTCAGGATATTTTTGGGGCCCTGGAAACTCTCTGTTAGTCCCAGAAAGATAACTGCCCCAAACAAAAAGGATCCATTCTTAATCACCATCCTTCTTGGAGGAATTTTGACAGTAAATCATCCAAATTTTTTTCCTTAAGTTAACTGTTTGTGTAGACGGGTTAATTGAGGACTACACGTTATTAACTGAGGACCACAAAATGAGTGACTGACCACATACTGCCATGAGCGACTACCTCAAAAATTTTTTTGTTTGGGTTGTGAGATTGACACTCATTTTCTGGATCGCTGGAGAATGATAATGACTGGAAGACAGGCAGTGTAGAGTTACGAGCCGTGAACGTCCCCCTTCAGGGCAGGAACTCTTAATGTAGCTCTGTGCCGTCTCTGCCGCCACTCGTAATTCAATTAGCCTGTGTCAATCACTGCCAAGGTATCAAACCAACTCCGTATTTATAATATTTGCAGAGGGGCTCTAATATCAATACTCAGGTAAAGGTAGTAGAGTCTCCCCTCTGCAATTATATAACCACATATGGCCGAAGCACTGAATGACAACATTTACCACCCATCTCTCTGTGAGCACAGGCCACCACAGTCGAACAGCCATCTCTATGAGAGAGGCCCTACACACACACGCACACGCACATGCACACGCACACTCACACACACACTCTGATCACACCGATCACCAAATGTATTTTAACTGGCATATTTTAATATTAACTTCAGAAAAATGACACTGGTATTCACTAAGTAAAAGGAGTCTAAATGGCCCATTTGAGCCAGAGTAAACACATTTAGCTATGAGGTCAGAGGCTGCCACACTAGAGGCAGGTTAGTTTGATAATTTTGTCAAAATGTTTAATGTCCTGCTAAACCGTTTGGGAAAAACAAGTGTGGCGCTGATATTGACTTTGGCAGCAGCCTGTATACTCAAGGCTTTAAACATGTAAATCAAATGCTCCATCTTCAGGCAAATGTAAGTAGACGTTTTATGCCCGGCTAGTTGTAGGTCCTGCCACAACTCGCTTTTTGACTCCTCACCCCGCCCTCCGTATATACGGTATGATGAACAGATAGAGCAGTGCAGTATGTGTGTGCGTGCATTCATGAGCGCTTTTGGGTCAAACATCTTGATTTGATGAAATCTGTAAATTTGGAAATTGCTGCAATTTTAATGCAGTGTTGTCACAAGTATGAAGGAGCTTAAGGTGGGGAAGCAAAGATATACATGAACAAGGGAGATTACTGGCATAATGGGCACTTAAGTTACATATGTAAGGAAAAAGGGGGATTCTCAGTGTGCTGCGCGCACACACACACACACACACACACACACACACACACACACACACACACACACTCAGATGTTCCTCATCAAGCACCCAAAGGAACAGACCCACGTCTCACATCCAATATGTCCCCCTGCCTGTGTAACCGCTGTTACAGCATCCCCTACTCAGGTCCTTTTCACTTTCCATTTCTTTCCCCACACAGGTAATTGTGCATGCTGCTGAGAAAGAGGCACTGAAACCACAAGGTAATTTCAACAGCATTCTCCCGCTTTCAAGGCCTGAAACAACACATCACCTTCCAGATGCTTCCAGGCCGACCTGACGTCTGTGAGCGGCGCTCGGACGTTTACATCCACACGGCTCAACCGCGCCGGCCCGCTGCACTGTTTGTGCTGGAAGTCGACCGGTCTGCTGTGCCTCACACCCCAATCACATGCAATCATGTGTGTTTCCTGGATTACTATATGTAAACTCCTCTCACTCACACACACTCCCACACACAGAGACACACATGAGTACAAATGCATGCACGGCTCTTAGAGTAAGAAAGCCATCAAACCTCATTGTGTCATATGCCTGTGCTGTATATACTCCCATAAAAGTGTATATACACACACAGACACCCAAAGAGCAGACCACAGAGTCAAAGGAAAGCATGTTTATGTAACATGATCACTTTTGTAACACAGGGTTTATGATGCATGATTCCATCCACTCTTTCTCAATGTTATTAAACTGTAAAAGACTGTTTTCCTTCACTACCTCCCTGGTTTTCGGCACATTGTTTAGTACAGTACACACTGTGCCTCCTGACGACACTTGGGCTCTGTAACTCTGCTCTGCTGGCTCTCTGGGGAAATCATCGGCACTAATAGGAACCATTCTGTTCCTCTCACGCACACATGCACACACGCACACACACACACACACACAGGCATACGCACACATGCGCACGCACATGCACACAGGCACAGGAGGATAAACCAAGATACATGAAAAGAGCTGTCCATCCCTGCTGAAGTGTCCCCGAGCAAGGCAGTTGTACAGATTTTCTATTTACTCTTTTGAATTGTTGGTATCTTGTGCAAGAGGCAGCCTTGTAAAAACGTGTGTTCAGTAGAGTTAATTAATGTATTCACGTCACAGTCAATTGAATACAAACACATTTTCTTTTTGCCAAGATTTAGCAATACTGGCGACACTTACTAAATATTACTAAATCATCCTCAGTTTTATTGCTCTCTCTTTTAAAGCATCCCCAGATGTACTTATTTTCACAATTATCTGGAGGATGCATCATCTTTTGAGATGGTATAATATAATACAGTTCAGTTTGTTGTATGGCCCATCAACAGATGGAGTGTCTAATGCAGTGGTGATGGTCTATACAACATGAGCACCTACAGAAGATTTGTACAATATGAATTGTTTGATAATGCTTTCTCCTTTCAGAGAGAATCTGCTGATTCTTGCCTTTTGTGGGTGAAACAACTCACAACACAAACATCAGAGGATGATGCTATCACGCTGCTTTGACAGTTTACTGTCATTTAAGTTCGAATCATGTTCGGCCAAGCGGTTCGGTCATCATGCTGACACCATCGTATCCAGTAGAGTTGGGGGACCTTATGAACACTGACTCCAGTGCCAGAAATAGAGCTGGTGATGTGTCCTGTTGACCCTGTGGTGACCAGCACAGCCCCTCTTCCCATGAGGCATGTCGTAGGGGTTGTAGAGTTGAGTTTGTTTCCAGTAAGACAGCCAAATGGGTTTGTCAGCAGGACCGAGAGGCTTAACCTAACATGAGCTAAGTGGGTTCGCCCTGTGGTTCGTCCCGGATTCAGGATAATAAATAGGTGAAAGACAATGGAAACAAAGGGTGAAGAGTGTGATCATAATGATAATATCTGGGTGATGCTTAGTAGAGGAAGAAAGTTTGTGCTTTGCTAAGTTTTTGACCTTTGTGTATTTGTGAGGATACATACACAGACTGGTGTATGTGAGAGTAAATGTGATTCATGATTCATCTTTGTCCACTGAGTCTTTACTTATGACTTAGCCTCACACATCTGAATCTGCTGCAGAGGCCAATTAGAAGAGGTTTCGGTCATGTGACAGGATTGTGACAAAGACTTACATGACTGTTCATAGAATTTTCCACTAACTAATCAGGAAATTTACCAGTTTATTTTTACTGCCCTGCTGACACATTTCTAATTTCCCCACCCTTACCAGAAAGTTTTACAGTACGTATGACACATCCCAACATCTGAATACATCCATGTTATACGTGCACCAAGGACTCACCCGTCTCTCGTGCTGTCCATGGCGGTCAGTGGGGACAGGTGATGAGGGCTGCCGAGCTCCCGGTCTAGTCTGTGTTGTCGTGGGGGAAGGTCAGTGGCGGAGACGGGGTTTGGGTTAGGGGAGAGGAGCTCCACTGAGGCGCTGTGATGGGGGGTGCTGGAGCCAGTGTACAGGCCTGAAAGACAAACAAAGCTAATTCAGTAAATGTGCCAAATAAACCCGAGGGCCCTGCGTTCCATCTTTCCTTTGAGCAAATTAGAAGCCCTTTCATGGCAACAGGATTTTGTTTTGACAACCTTCATCCAATCAGAGAGCTTTGTAAAATAAAATGTTCTGTGTTTGCGCTGTCTGTAATTTAGGGTACATTGTTTGTGCTGCCACAGGGATCTGCCTTGTTTGTCCTTTAAGCTGATTGTTCTTATTACACAATAATAAACTAAAATGTTGCATATGTTTTAACAGTGACTTTGAACAGTAGGGCATTTAAAAGGGTGGATAAGGTTACTGGATAGCCTCTGTTCTGTGTGTGTGTTTGTGTGTCATGGTTATGATTTTGAGAGTACATACAGGCGTACTGTATTTAACTGTGAGCATCCAGTATATGTGATGTGTTTCAGAGTGTGCACATCTACTGTATCCGTATGATTTTTTTTCAAACATCCTTCCCACTGCTGGTAATGTTCAGAAGAGAATGGAATAACTTTATGACTCTGTTCCATAATGTCCAATATGTCTTTCACTATTCAATCACTGAGTTTTCAATTACATTTGATTAACGTTTTGTTGACGCAGCAGTCTGTAGGAGGCCATTATTTTCTACTGATGCTGGCTGCTTGTTGCCAGCTTTTTCTACTGTTTCAAGCTGCAAACTATGATTAAACAATGATCCATTTTTTTGATCCAGAATGCCCTGCAAACTAGGGCTGCAACTAATGATTGTCATTATTGATTCATGTTTTATTTGTTTTTAGTTTTCATTTTTAATGAAATATGCCCATCCCAAAGTTCCCAAAGCCCAAGGCGACGTCTTAAAATTGCTTGTTTTGTCCAACCAACATTTTAAAAATGAAATGTATTCATTTTATAACAATATAACATAAAAAAGTAATAAATCTTAACATCTGAGAAGTTTGAACCAGTGAATTTACCACTTTGGCTCTACTTGGACATTTCACTCTGTGAGTATGCTGCAATATTTCTGATCTGTCAGACCTTACTTTGAAATTTTCCAATGGTTTAGTTCCATTAACATTTAAATATGTTGCTCCAGAGGGAAAGAATAGTACAGTCAAGAACTAGATATTGTAGACACCAAGAGAAACTGAACTGGATCTCCACTTGTTCCCCCAACACAGTAAATCTACTCTCTCCATCTTCTTCTGCTTTTATCGCCTGATTTCTTTCCCAGCATCCACGAGGAGAACCGCGCGCTGACTGTCTGGTGCCGTTAACCAGCAACTAGAGGGGAAGACAGGAAGAGATGAAAGGAGGAGAAGAGATCGGTGCTCCTGGTTTTGCTGTTTCCAGGAACAGCTGTTCTCAAATGGAAGCATGCCGAGGCCTGATCTGACAGCACTCTGAAATGGTTACAAACTTGATTCATTACCCCCCAAATCATCAGTCACAGACCTTAAATGTTTTCCCCTTTAGCCCCAACATCTGCTACCAGAGCGGCAAAACAGACGACAAATAATGGCTGTGATTGCCTCAATTTCATCACTAGTTCCTTGCAGAGGGAGACAGAGAGGATCTGATGGCACTCTTTAAGAGTTAGTGGAGAATTATGTTCTGAAGATGTTGTGTAAAGGCTTCTGGATGAGTTCAGAAAGAAAGTTCTGTGTGAGAAGGAGATAGAGAGGTAAATCAGCCACTCAGCATAACAGCAGGAACGTGTAAACCCCTGCACTAAAACTATGAGGAGTCCTTCCTCTGGTTAATCAGGGAACACTCTAATTATGCTCAATAAAACAGAATGGGGCTTCTCATAAGTCTCACTGCAGCCGTGTGAATAAGAGCAGACTTATAACCAGCGAACAGGAAAACAAGTTCAGCTCTGACTGGAAGCATGAGTCATTTTCTGCTCCACAAGTGTTAATGATGGGATGGCTGCCCACTTTGCTCCACCTCTTCCATGCATCCTATTGGCCCCAGAACAAAGTGAAACTCATGTAAATGGAGATCCTGAATGCCAACCTGCGACATCTCTTTGCTGGCCTTGAATAACACTGCATCCTTGAGCGCTTTGGCATCAGCTCGTGAGAGAGCTCCTCAGGGCTTTAAACCATTTAAAACAAGAGAGCAAGCAACATCCACTCAGACACAGAGGGAGGCCGAGGGTAAAAAGCCAAGACTCAGAGGCCCGGTTCGACATTCAAAGACAAGTTGAGCGTTCACAGTCGTCAAACGGTGCGCAGAGTTCCAGCAACAATAACAGAAAGCAACGGGGAGGCTGGACGGGGTACAGGAAGAAAACAAGGACAGATGTGTCCATAAACTTAGGAAGCTGTGGGGCATCTTTCTTGTCTTTAAGATTGTTATAATCTATTTATCTGTCTCTTGTTCCCAATCCAGAGTGGTGTTGACTTTTGGTGACGGTCGAATTCATCAATTAGAAAAATGGAAGGTTTAAAGGCCACATGTGATGAGTAAAAGTTTCCGTTTGTAGCTGCTGCTAATGGTTTTTGCAGTCTTTGCATGACAAGATGACAGACTAACATGATATGGTTATGAAATACAAACCAAACAAACAAAAGTGCAAGGTTGTAACACTTAAACTTAAATACCCCAGTACAGTCCAGCCACTAAAATGTTTATATAAAATGTGTATAAGCAATTACAGATAAATTATAGTGGTGTAATTTGTTTATATTTGACCAAAGGCGTCGTAAGTATGATTTTTACTGCCTGAAAGCACAAAATGACCATAATACATCTGCAGGAATGTTGACATGGCTGTTGATTACCACCAATGACTCGGTGATTGCTTTGCCAGGTGTCGTGATTTCTGGCGGTCAGACCTCACTTGCTGGCTTGTTCTTCTGTTTTGGAACAAATACGCCCCGGCCATTGATTTTTGGAGATACAACCAGACTCTTGCACTCACATTTTGAATTGCTCAACCATGGAGGATAATGCTACTACTGGTGTCATATGACAAGTTGTGTTAAAGTCAAAGAGCAAATGATTAAGAATTATTACTTGTTATAATATATTTCAGTTGAATTCATGCAGGAATTAACTTATACTCTCACATTTTGTGACATTTTGCCATGTGGAAGGTGCATCGAGAGAGAGAGAGAGAGAGAGAGAGAGAGAGACTTTCGGATAACTTAAAGTTATTCTATGTAAGTTTTCCAAAGTAAAATGTCTAGAAAGGACTAGACCTATGTTATCAATTTTTTTGAGTTGTGTACTTACATTTTCCCAAATGCTTTCAGCAATTCTCAAACCTAGTGAAATCCGTGATTTTAATTTATGGTCATGGTCCGTTTCATTTGTCAATGACGTCATATCCCCTATATACTTGCGTCAGTGTTGTGGTTGCCAGAATTTCAAAATTGAAACATTTTTAAGGCAAGATTTTAGTCATCAGACATCTGGATCTTAAGTTACCAGAGAAAAAAAGCCAAGTAAGTGTAAGGCAGCTCAGTTCCCGGCCGCTCCGAGACATCCTGTGTCTGTTGAACTGCGTCGGTGAACCAGTGATTTCTAATGTGACCCCTAGTGGCAGAAGCTACATACTGTGACAACCATGAGGTTACATTGTCAGGGTGTTGGATGACAGAGCAGCATCCTGTGTGCACCTGTGAAGATGTCTTGGCCCAGTCCAGGAGAACGACCATCTTTGCCGTTGTAGAGGTGCTGCGAGGAGGTGGAGCTCTGAAGGTGCTGCATGGACAAACAGTCACTCAGGACATCCTGCTCCAGGTGAGGGCAGGGCCGAAGCTGTCGATCATAAAGATTAGAATAACATGACATTAACTGAATACAAGAAACTATGTTGAATCAATCAGAGAGAACTCCATCTGCTCTGCAAGATTACACAACCGAAGAGCAAAACAAGGCTTCAGTTTTGTCTATTTGTAGGTTGGACCCTATGTGGGGTGTGTGTTTTCTCTTTTCTCTTTTAATGTGATTGTCGTGTTAATTTGAAACAGTAACTCAGCAAATGAGAATACATCGTCAGTCAGGGGGAACCAGAGGAGAGATCATACGCTCCTTTTTGAGTCATTCGTTGGCCTTGGACATTATGAGTAAGTGATCCCTGTACCAACTCAGAGCCAAAGTGAGATTGCTTCTGTTTCTCTCACTGCCAGCAGTAATGGGGGCAACTGAAGACACATTTCAGCTTCAGAGTCGATCACACGCCACGCAGAGGAAACCTAAACCTAAGGAAACTTGTGTCAGTTGGTGAAATGGGACATCTGCCTTATGGATCAGTGGAACAGCTGACCTCTGTTGTATACATCAGTGGATTTCACTGTAATAAAACATTACAGTTGCTGAGGTACACACCAGGACTGTACTAACAACCACATCTTGTTCTTTCCTCAGGAGATTTACCTTCAAAGATCCTGAGAAGCCAACACAGAGATCAGGATAGAACTATAGCTAATATTCTGAAGTGTACAGAAGAGAAGTAATTTTAAACCAACAGTGTGAAACGAAACACGGCCAGCCAGAATTACATTAAGGCAATGACTGGAGACAAGGGGAATCTGCCAGTAAGGTATCTGGCATCTGCTTTAGACCCAGTATTGGATGAGGAGTTATGGAAAAACAACAGCAGTGGACTTGATCTGCTCAGTGCAGTATATTTACTATTCATCTGTGAGTTGAAGGTTAACCCTGGTTTCTTCTTGTCGACAAATCCCATGAACCCAAGACCAAAACCAAAAATAATTCGATCCCAAGTATTGCCTGTGCAGGAAAAGCCTGATATAGCTCACCCTAGTGAATCCTAACCCACAAACTAATAGAACACATCAGTGATCCACAATGTTGCACTGGGTGACATGTTCCTTCATTATAATCAACAAATATGCAATTATGCTAAGCTAACAAACATTCTTCAGTCATTACCGGCAGAACATTTTGTCATTTTGTAATTTAAAATGCATACACTTTACATAAATATTAAACTGAATTTTGATCAAGTGTTAGGGGAGATATATATTGACCATACTAAAGTGCTATATATTAGCAAGCTAATGTTATCTTCGTCAGCTGGTTCTGTTAGCTTCGTAATGATTATGCCCATTAGTTACTATGTGGAAATATTTTGTCAAAACTAATTCCTGTTTACAAACCAATTTGTTTAGCTTTAATTGGTTTATTTATTTTAATATTTTATTTATTATTTATTTAATGCTTTATTCACAAAGAAACCCTATCCTGTTTTAATTCGGTAACGCGTAAATCTCCACTTAGTAAACAATTGTGTTTTGATTCAGCTAAATTTGAACTTAAGAACATCGAGTTCATCTGGCTCTGAATCCGTTATATGTGGGTTCAGTTGATCATAAAGTCAAAATGTGAACTAAATGCAGATGAAGTTTTATTTTCGTCATCATGCTGTGATATCAATTATCTTGATTAATACATAATTTTGAGAAGAGTGTATAATAGTAAGAAGTGATAACTTTATGATGCCAAGAGGCATAAAAATCTGGCGGTGTTGCTCTGAGTCATTTGGACCAGAACAAGTCAAGTGTGTCGTTGAAAGAAAGTGCTCCAGTTACACATGACTAAGGTCAATGCCGTCAACCAAGCTTTTTTCTCCATCATCATTCCAATCCTTTCAATGAGGCTGTCTTTCTCCCTATGCCTGTCTGTCCGTATATCCACTAATCCAGCCTTTGTTATTCCATGAAAATCAATTCCACATTTTGATTTTGTGGTTGGACTGTGGGTGGAAACATTCTTCAGCATTATCACGACAATCTACTTTACCCTCTGATTTTTCCCATAGACTTCATCAACAGCAATGAACCAAGTGGACAGATAACAACTTAATCTGTGCGTGACTTACATCTTTTAAGACCTTCTGCCTTCTTGGCCACTGACATCACAAATAATGGCACTTGTCAACATGCTGGCATCATCCACGTTATGATTTCACAAGTTATGATTCGTTGCTGTGTGTCAGTAAATGTGTATGTGCGTGTCCTCCTGGGAGAGCCTTATGAGTGCCCTGCAAAACATTCATCACGTGTAATTGGGGCTCTGTTTTCCCCACAGCGACACTCCTAACAGTTTCTCTCCGGGCTTGCTCCAAGAGTGGAGTAAGAGCATTTGTTTGACATTTGTCCATAACATCTGGCCACTGGGGTATTCTACACTACAGCTTATTAACAATGCTACAAGTACACATGTGTTTCCCTTTACGATGCTAAGCAAAGGAACACATCATCCAGCCTGCCACTATCCAGCCCCTTCCACAACAATGAGCCCATTCTCTCCGTTATTTACCCGCTTCCAGTCAGGGAAAGAATGGGCTTTTGACCATGAACACGATGAAATGTGGTCAAACCTGATCTATTGTTGGGGAAACGATTCTCAGAGACACCCCTATAGTCCACCCCCGGCTTCCCAACCCCTAAATTAAAGCAACTAGATAGATCTGTGGATAATACAGATCAGACCAGGGCAGATTATATAAAGTGCTCTGTTTGTAAAACCTGCAGCCCTACCATATTGACTTGAATCAGTTCATACTGGAAGTTTACCAAGAAAAAGATGCACAGTAGTTCCCGAGCAGGGTATACTGTAGCAGCTGTGTTGCCGTCTACGCAGGCACAGCCACCCATACATACTGTATGCCCACTAGAATTTTTTTTTAATGCAAAATGAACAATAACAGATAATATTCCTTGAAAAAAAATCTTAATATACTGTAGACCCAAAGTTTGACTTTAGGTAACTTTCATTTTCTTTCATTCACACGATAGAATTTTGGTTCCTTTTTGGAAACATGCCTTTTTCTTACTACTTGACAAAATCAGGTACATATGGGTTTTTTTTTATTTTTTTTTATAGCTTTTCCTTCCCACTCTTGTACAAAGTATCTTACCTTTCTACGCACCTGTTGCTCTTTGGCTGAGTGGATCTTGACGTGCTTGCGTAGGGAGCTGGGATCTGTGTAACGCTTGGTACAGCCAGGGATCTGACATGCATATGGTTTCTATGAGAAGAGAGAAAATATTTCACATCAGTTTTAAGAGTGTAACACATTTGAATGAGCTTTATTGTAAGAAAGACAGCAACAGAGGAAAAAGCAGGGCAGCTATTAAAGAAGACACCACAGGAACTGAAAAATTAAGGAGCAAAATCAATACACAGTGAGTTTGAAATGTGTTGAATTAAAGGCAAAGTTAAAGTCCTACCTTCCAGCTGAGAAACACATAATTTGAAGTAAAAGGAAGAGCAGAAAAAGGATGAAAAGAAAAGACAAACAATCAGTTGTAAAACATTTTAACACCAAATTTATCTCGACACGACAGAACTGCCATGTTTTATTAATCATCTGGTTGGTCTGTGTTGTGTTTCACTTTTCCTTCTCTCCTCAGCAATGAAAGCTCACTCTCCCAGTACCGACAACATTAATACTGCATGATTAATAATGATAAATTAAGTCTTTAAGATTCTAAATAATCAGCTAATTAAATATATCAGAATTTCTTTGTGGCATGTTTGTTTGTGCTACACTTTCTGAATTTCTATATTGCATGCCATGAAAATAGACCTGTTATGGGAAATAATGTTTAGTGGTACTCTATACCATCAATCTGTACGTCAGTGTGGGTGCTGACATACAGATTGGTCGTAAAGAGAGAGATGTAGGCACATTAGTGTAACAGAAACGACTATAAAACAACTACACTGTCATGGAGTTTCCTCATCATTTCACATTCCTCTCATTAACCAAGCAAATATAGTATATAGCTCGCTGATTGAGGGATTTTTCCCCTCACGGCAATTTTTCTTTTTTCATCCTCGAATATAAGTTGCCCATTAAAGTGTAAGTGGATACGCGTCTTTATTAGCTCTGCCTCCATACCTCAACCTACTCTGTAAATAATCCATTGTTATTCCAAGGTGCTTACAGTGCCACTCATCTCCGCCATGTTTGTTTTGCCAAGTAACGTACCCAATACGTTGCTGAACCCTTAGTTTAAAAAAAAAAAAAAAAAATCAAGCATGACTTCTGTGTAGAATAAATATCATTAAAGCTTGAGAATGATTTTCCCCCCAAAGTGTTTTTGGCAGGGCAGGCAGCTGGGCAGGCGCAGCGAAGGCCTTAGCAGGGTGTTAATGTGAAGCCATAAGCATCGGGGTTCCAGATTAGCTGTATCATTTGTCCTACTGTGGAAAGAGTGGGTGTTGGGAGAAAATCCCTAACTGACAGAAAAACAAAAGTCTGCATTCAAATTTCTCCTTTGGTAAAAACTCTGAATGATTTACTACTACACTGACCAAAAAGCATCTGTGGCTGGCCAGTACAGGAACAGATGGGGGGCATGCTGGAAATGAATGTATAAAAATACTCCTAAAATGAATTCCTTTTTAAATTAAAGCTTTATTACTTTCCATCATTGAAAACAATACAAAGGGATTACAAAATAGTTTTTGAGACATTTCATAGTGGGGAAGGAATTTTTTTTTCATCCTCGTTATGAACATTAATTTTTCAGTGATAAATATTCAGATTTGTAGGGTCTTGTTGTGTCAGAGACATGTCATTATGGCTCCTACTGCATGTTTGTCTGTCCTCCAGGGATCCCGCCTCTGCCTCTCCCTTTTTTTTTCCTTTTGCTTAAGTTTATTCTTGTCCAAATCGAGGATGCAGTGATGTTCTGGTTGTCAGGCCCTCTTGAGACAAATGTGTAATTTTAGGTAGGCCCATAAAAGTTCAACTTTATTGACTTGACTGGATGTGGCTCTCTGGCAGGAGAGCAAAAAGAATTTGCTCTGAATTTGGACTGACATAAACACAGATTTCATCAACTGATTACATTCATAGACTTTTTAAAACACTCTATTCCTATCCAATATAATGTCCTTGATTTCTATCTACAGTTTAAAGCTGGTTAGTTGTTTACGTTTATTGTCTTAAGTATCCAGTAGCATATACAGTGGATAAAAATATCATGAGTAGGTTGTTTAAATTGGAGTAGTGTGATATAAAGCGGAAATTACATTAAAATGCAGAGGAGAAAAGTGAAATGTTCTAATGGCAGAGGAAACAAATACCTCAACTGTACTTAAGTATATAATTTGAACAAAACAACTTATTTACTCCGTAGCTAAGTTGGCGTGCGCATGGTGATAAAGTGAGTATTGGTGGGGTTACTGAGACATGACGAGTGGCAGCAAGGTCTGACTCAACCTTTCCTTCCCTCTCCACAGGTCAGAGAAACAGGCGAAGCTCTGTCTGAGCTCACTGCTCCAATCCAAGTCCGTTATGGCCTGAGCTGCGACTCAGCCTAATGGAACTGATCATTTAATGATCTGTGGCATGTCACTGCCAGTGTAGGGAGAGTGAGAATGCCACACTGACTGACAGCAAATTAAAGTCTAACACTGTCAAGACGTGGAAATGGGCACTGAGGCTTGGACGGCAGCGCAGTTTTTCATGTTGGCATAAAAGTGAAGTATGAGCAAAGCTTTATTCAGCGATACACACCCACACATATGCAGAGGGGACAGTCAATGCCAGTTATCCCACGACTATTTTTTCTTTAATTTGCATATAATTTAATCCCTGAATGGATTTTATAGGAAGTAAATGCAGCCTGTATCTGAAAAATGTAAACACCTATAGTCTATAATTTCATTCAGCCACCCTTTCCACTACACTCCGACCACCCAGACTATTTTAACTGCTGGCCTGAGACATGTTAAACATTAATCTACTCTGGTGAATCATTGGGAGGTGAGACAGAGCAGAGACTTAGTTTCTGACCGTGTCCAGGTGAGTGCGCTGATGCTTGGCGCGGTCGCTGGAGTTGCTGAAAGCTTTCTGGCAGCCGGGGTGCTGGCACAGGTACGGCTTCTCTCCTGTGTGGCTCCTCAGGTGGATCTTCAGGTTCTCCAGACGTGAAAACGCTTTGTTACAGCCCTCAAACTGTGGAGGAGGGAACACAGCGTGCGCGCGCACACACACACACACACACACACACACACACACACGTATACAGATGACACAGGAATGCATGCACACACAGATCCCAGGTATGCACAGAACCACACAAGGAAATAAACAAACACCCACATGCATGCGCGCACACACACACACAGAAAAAAGAAATCAATCAGTGTAAATCTGGTAAATTCTGGTACAATGTGGGCTCTGTATACGTGTCTGTGTGTGACTCAGAAAGAAGTCCCACTCTTTCCCTCAGTCCCTTGATCACTCGCACAGCTGGAGGAGTTCACTCTACACCACATATTCACTAACTATGGAAAAGTGAGAGATGCTCAAGAACACGGGTGGTATGATCACGAGCATATTTTCCATGGCTCTTGAATTACACAGCCAATCCAAGGACCTTTGTTTAAAACCACGTCCACTTGAAAGACAGCGGCGTGCTTGACAGTACACCTGCCTCAAGGCTGCTATTTAAATTGAAGGGGAAACTGGGAGTGTGCCGTAGAGCAGCGGTTAATGGACTGTAATGCATAGCATAAGATAAGTGTTCTGCTGTGTATAGTACATTAGACTGACAAGTGACAGTGACTGTAAACAAGCTCGTATCCGACCCAGCTTGGCCCATTTGATCCCAACCACTCAGCCAATGAGCACCACAGATTTGTTAACATGTGAATGATTTATGAGGCTTCTCGTATATCCACTCCTGCTCTTAAGCAGAAAACACGGCTGATTGGTTCATGAGGCTGTCTATGTCAAGACCCCCTGCAGGGGCTGCCGTGTAAAGAGTCACAAAGTGCATGGGTGTACAGTGGTATGGTAGGCTCAATGCTACTTATATCTAACTAATGTTAATCCCATTTAGGTTTTCAGCAGCACCTTGACATCAGTATACTTGGGAGACGTGACTGTCACAAGGTAGAGAAAAGAAAACAGAGATAAAAAGTGGTGGTGGAGATGGAAAGATGAAAAAGCACATAGCACCACAAAGAGTCAAAGGTTGCTGGTGAAGCACGCTAAAATAACTATTAGTCCTTTCTGATCAAAAGGTTCCGGGAACTATGGGACCAAAGGCACTGAACTCGGGAACTAAAAGTCCCTTTTGCACTTTGAGTTTCCACCACATCTGAATAACTGTAAGGATCAGACGGATGAGATTAATGACAGATGGCAACATCTGAAACACAATTTTCACACCAGGAAACAACAACAACAACAACAACAGAGTGATCCCGTTGATCTTTGTATTTACTGTGGTGTGACTGATGTAATGAATGAATGTAAAGGAGACACGCAGAGCTGGAGACGTCTCTAAAGTAGACAATGTGAGTGTTTGATAGTTTAGTTAGTAGTTTAGTTTTTATTGATTTCAGTCTCATCTCTTTTTTTTCAAAGCAGTCAGGAAGTCGACACAAAGTCTAATTTTGCTGTTCACATTAATAAACATCAAGAAATGTCCACCCCTGCTTCCAATATCGATACTGGCTATTATTATTAGGAAGTCTATTCCTTCCTTATTTTGTAAATTAAGCTGTACACAAGATGTAGTTGTTTGTAGTTTCTGTGTTTGGCAAATTTGTCCATGAACCATCAGAAAGCACTACCGCCTGGAACAAGGACTTTTTTTTGTTCCTGGTCAAAACTTGGATTAACTTTCCCCTGGGAAAGTTCCCGCAGTAAAAACTCCCTAGATTTTAATATTCCAAACTCTTTGTTGATCACATAAAAATTATACACATGGTAGCCATTTTATTTTTTTTTATTTTCATACATTAGTTAAGGTGCGAGAATTACTGTGGTGAGACTATTCATACTGTGGCAAAAACATAAAGTAGAGGTTCAAGCATTGAGAAACAGGGAGCAAGGACAGCAATTGGTCTGTTAAAAACAAAGGTGCAACTACTCTGACTCTGAAGTTACCCCCTAAAACGCCAGACAGTATCCTCTAGCTTAACAGCTTCACCACTTAAACTAAACCTTACCCAAAACTAATTTCTGTCAAAGAGCTAAACTGACCTTGGTGCAAATAAAACTGTTGCAGAGCCTCTGAGGTCTCTACTGTCCATTGTACCCTGACCTTTAGTGAAGCCTGCTAACAACAGGTCGGGTTACAGCTAAGGAGAGAGTGACACCATTCTTCTAATGGGCCTTCAGCTTCATCTGGGCTCAATGCTCATCCCTGGCCTCCTTCATTCACTCACACAGCACAGGCAGGGCCTTCTATTCACCCAGGCTCCATTTAATATAGGCGAAACCTAAGCCTGTCATGGTAGAGCTGTGTTAGGTGACCAGGCTGATCTGTGTGTGTGTGTGTGCGTGTGTGTGTGTGTGTCGCTCAGTAAGAGAGTCTTAATCTGCTCGCTTATAGCCACACAGCACACAACTCCTCATGAAGTTTGTAGGAGCTTTGAGCCGATGAGTTTGGAAACAAAAGCTTCCTCTCATCATGATCAGATCGATGTTTCTTTTCTATTTCAGATTTTTTACGAGTTTTTGAGGTTGATTTTACTGAAAACAACCCTGGGCAAACATAAATGCACAAAAACATAACATGGGGTTTTATACATGCCTCTGACTGAGAATAAAGCTTGACATTTTCTCATCTCGTTCAAGTAGGACTCAGTATTGATGGTGCCAATACAATACCTGAGTTTTAGTACCATAATAATACATTTTTTGATATCTCACTGTGAGAAATATAAACACGTTTCTCTACAAAACCGCTTTTTTCTGATAAATAAAATAAGCCAAAAGCACCAGTATGTGTTTGTCTCAGCACCAAGCAGTAATATAATAACTTCCCCCAAGTTAAACCACAGTCTGAAATGACCAAAGTTATGATTTATAATATCTGATTAAAGAATAAGTAGACATGATCAAGAAAACCTTCAGTACTTGACAGTTTCCAATACTCAAACAGTTCCAAAGCGTTCAATAGCCAGCCGCATGCTCAAGAGTTCAGCATAATTAGTGGCAATCCACTCATCTATTTTTGGATTAAGGTTACGTGTAGTGTGGTTTAAGTTAAGGCCATTAACTTGTCCCAAAGTGCCCATGACAAATGCATAAAATGTACGCAAGCCAAAATGTCTCACTGCTTGACTAGACAGCAGCATAACCTTACATTAAGGAGGACGGGAATGAAATATGAGGAAAAATATCACGTAGGATTCCACAACGCTAGAAAGACACATAGACTGTCCAGGCTTCAGCATGCAGCCATGGAAAATATCTTTACGATTTCATGTCGCACAATGTTGCACAGAGGAAACATATTATTCTTGAGTCATGCCAATCAAATGTTTCAGCTGGAAACGAGAGAGGCAGCCAGGGTGGGAAAGTTTAATAAAAATCTCAGTGCAGAGGAACATCCACACTGCCATACCGGTCATGACAGACACGGTCCATGCTGACTGCTGAAATACGGCGCCGAGCATTTGAGTTGGGAAAACAAACACGGCTATTATTGACTTGCCAAAAGTGTGTATTTATGTATAAGGGAATAATCACTCTTTCATTGCTTTCTTTTCTGCAGTACAAATTTGAGACTAAATTATAGTTAGGGGTCCATGGAGGAAACCGTGTTAATCGTGTAGAGCGTATTATTACTCAGGGAGCGGGACTAGCAGGGAGACAGCTGAGTATGAGGTTTTCCTGCCTGATGGGAAAACCAATAGGCAACGCCACCTCTAGGCATGGACATTACCCAGCAACCCTGCATGAAAAATTTTATGCTACAGTAAGATGTTTCAGCGCGGCCAATCTTCTGGTTAAAATGGCTTCTTTCAGTGAGTTCAGTGATTGTCAACTTCATTTTGCGTATTTGGGGCACACGGTGCTGTAAAATACACCAGTACTGCTGGGACTGACGGGGGAGAAAGTGTTTTCACAGTGTTGATGTGGGCAGTATGTGGTCCTACGGCAGTTATACATCCTAGGTCGTGGGTCTGATTCCCGCTAGACTGACGAACGTTACAGATATAATGATGATAAAAGCCAATGAAAATAACAAAAACAAGTTAAAAGGACATATGTCAGTACATCCTCTATATGTTCCATAAGGAGTTGCCTAAAATGTAAACTGTTTAGAAAGTAATGAGCACATAGGTCAAAGTGGTATAAACAGAGAGCCGTGGTGGCTGAGGCTTCTGACACAGGATCGATTTTACCTTTGATATTATCTATGAAAACAGTTTAGATGGCGCTAATCACATTAATTGCTTTAAACGTGTTTAGTTTTCCTCTCTGCAAACCTCCGTCTAAGGTAAACCGACAGATCACCACACGAGGGGAGCGGCACTGGCAGCGTGGAGGGATTTGAGCCCCGTTTGACACCATTTCACTCTTGAATGGGGTGGGGGTTCAGTAGCTCGGTAAACATTGGGGATGACAGCGGGGTCTTGACTTGGTTGAAGGGGGCAAGAGCGGGTTGAAAGGGTGGACAGGCAGCTGATCACAACAGACAGATTATGGGCGCAGCATGCAGGCTGGTGGAGGTGCGTGTCCCGCCTGAGGCCTTCATGGGAAATGACTCCTGACTGGCAGGGAGAAGGCCAAACAGTGTCGAAGCTAAAAGGCAGCAGTGTGCAGCTCTCCTCACATGCGGCGGCTCATTAGCAACCTGCAGGAGCTGCAGATGATGCGAACAAACCAGCCGTTATGGAGGGGTGTTGGGGGAAAATATGGCTGCTGACATGTAGGACAGAAATCTGATTAAAAGCTTTGATGAATGGCATAAGAAGAGAGATGGAGAGAGGAGAGAATCAGAAGTAAGGCAGAGGTTCTGCTCTTGGAAAACAATATCTGACTGTTGCTTGTAGCCAAGGTCATCGACTACAGGACTCGTTTTTTTTTCCTCAAGAATAAGTTCCAGGATTTTCTCTCCTGACAGCAGAGCTTTTCTAGGGTTGCTACAGATGCGAGGGAACCCTTTGATATCTCCCTCAGCACGAAGATATCTCTCAGGCCTCGGGCAG